GTGCGAGTGCTGGTAATTATCTATGTTGTATTTGTTGATAAGGTGGAGAAATTCAGCTGAGACTGAAGAAGTCTTTTAGACGAGTAGTGAACCTTTCTCCCACTGAAAACTCCACGTCTAGAAGAATCTAATCAACTTTTTGACCTTTATGTTTGTTTCATTAGTGATGATGAAGACTATGAGCCCCTAAGTCCCTCATCCCCTGCACAGCCATCAGAGCCATATCATTCCCAAGCCACACAATCTACCTCAGCTCCTACTGTCCCCCAGTTGCCTGAAAGGTATGTAATCTTAATTTTACTACTTCTTATAAAGTTAAGTTTTTCATAGATTTTGAATAAGTATTATTTATTTACCACAGCAGCAACAATGATGACTATGAACAACCTCTGCAAAGCCCGGCCAAAAGAAAAGCTAAATCGAAGCCTGCTCTGTCTAAGGCTCGGAAGAGTGGGCCTCCTGAACAGGAAGAAATGTGGCATAACAAAAAGGAGGAGGACAGAAATCCTGAACCCTTCAAGTTTATGCCCTCCAGGGTACCTGGTCCTACATTTAACAAGACGGCATCATGGTCTCCACTTTCGCTCTTCCAGCTTTTCTTTAGTGTACCTGTTGTACAGACAATCATTCAAAATACCAATGCCAATGCTGCGAGAAGGAAGGCAGCTGGCATAAAGTTTCAATGGACTGATCTGACAGTGAAAGACTTTTACGTCTTCTTGGCTATTATTGTTTTCACAGGCCTTGTAAGTGTACACCACAGAGCTGACTACTGGAAAAGAGAATGGCCATACAATTTTCACTTCCCCCAAGAATATATGTCCAGGAACCGTTTTGAGGCCATCGTGTGGTCATTGCACCTCTCCAACCTGAAAGACGACGAGGAAAACCAAAAAAAAAGAAACACCCCGCAGTACGATCGGCTTTTCAAAATCAAGCCGCTCTATGACCAAATCGTAAATGCCTGCAAAGCAAATTTCCAGCCTTACAAAAACATCTGCATAGATGAGAGGATGGTGGCATCTAAGGCTAGAATTAGCGTCAAGCAGTATATGAAGGCGAAGCCCACAAAGCGGGGATACAAGCTGTTTGTTCTGGCTGATTCAGCATCGGGTTACACATGGAACTTTTCTGTCTACACAGGGAAGAGTGAAAGCAACATAAGCCATGGTCTGAGCTACTCAGCCGTTTTAGATCTTCTGCCATTTTCTTTGCTTGGTCAGGGCTACACTTTATATTTGGATCATTTTTATACCAGCCCTGCACTGTTCCAACATCTGCGTAAGAATTGCTTTGGCTACTGTGGAACCATTAAAAAAACCCAGAGTGACTTTCCCCACACAGAAAAAAATGACTTTCCTAAAAGAGCTGAGAGGGGAGATATGCGCTGGATTAGAAAAGATGAAGTGCTCTTTGTCAAGTGGATTGAGACTCGGGAGATAACGATGTGCTCCACAGTGCACAGGGCCTTCAGTGGAAAGACTGTGCAGCGTAGAGTGAAGGAGGCTGGGGTGTGGTCGGCAAAGCAAATACCTGTTCCTGATGCAGTGCTGGATTATAATAAGAACATGCATGGTGTTGATTTATCTGATGCTCTCATTGGTTATTACAGTGTTCAACAAAAAACAAAGAAGTGGTATAAGACTTTTTTTTATCACTTTGTGGACATTGCCATTGTGAACAGTTTTATTTTGCACAATGAGATATGCAGGAGCCAGGGTCAGGAGCCAGTAACTCAGAAAAAGTTCTGGGAGCACCTTGCTGTGGAAATGCTGTCTTTTGCCGTAGGCTCAGCACCAGCAGCACCATCGCCCACACTCACCTGCATGCCGCGTTATTACGGCAGCGATGCTACACAATCCAGGAGGTACTGCAGGAGGTGCCTGGATGCTGGCATCCCAAGGGTGAAAACACCTATTTATTGTAGGGCTTGCAATGTCCCCCTGTGCCTCACGTCCAAAAAAAACTGTTTTGAGCGCTGGCATGATAAGCAGGAATATTTATCAAGTGTAAATGTGCACTGATGGCTTGCTTCCGCTCTTGTAATGAAAC